TATGCTCCTGCTCTATTGTAGCTATCGCTACAGCCTGGCCTAGTGCCTGCCCATTGTAAGGGCTTCATAATCTGCTGTTGACTGCAGAATGACTGGAAAAACAGCATTTCATTTTTTTATTCATAAAAGAAAATTTAGCCAGCACAGTGGCCCACACCTGTAGTTCCAGCTACTCTGGAAGCTGAGGTCGGAGGATCCTTGAGCCCAGGAGTTCAAGGCTGCAGTTCAAGGCTGCACCTGTGAATAGCCACTGCACTCCAGCCTGGGCAGCATAGTGAAGCTCTGTCTCAAAAAAAAAAAAAATGTCTACCCCACCATTTTTCATAGTGCCCAAGACCATCACTAACACTTTATCCCTTATTCCGTGAAGGATTTTCCAGTCTTGTAGAGAAGTCATTAGGTTAAAAATATCCCTGGAACAGATTAGAAAACCTTTCTCCACTCAGACTTGGGAGTTTCAGGGGAAGAATGCACCTCCTCTTCCTTGGAACCACAGCAACCTCTGTTCTTTATATCACTCTATCCCCTACATCCACATCTAGGAGATAAATTAGCACTAGAATTTGGAACTGGGAAGATATGTGATCTCTGAACTAACATGGTTGGGGGTCATGAAGTTCCCTTACAAGGCCTCCTCCCACCCCTGAAAAGAGCCCCTGTCAGCATCCCTGGGTGCCTGGAATCTGGAGGACAAAGCTCCCTGCGCTGCCATGTGCACTCTCTGGCCCGCACTCCCTCCCCTTGTTGATCTGAGAGCCCAACCTCTCCCTGTGATTCCAGCCCAGCTTCTCCCTGGAGCATCTCCCTGTGAACAACTCTTGCTGGGACCACCACATATCAGGTGACAACTCTGCTGGGCAGCCTGCCAGGAGCTCGGACACCATCTGGACACACACAAATGTATGGCTGAGTTTCCTGGAGTCATTTGTTTTCATCGCCACAGAATTATGGAAAGTGTTGAGGTAAGCAAGTCTCTTCGCCACGGGTAAGTAAACTACCTGGTTTTCCCATTACTGCCTCATCTATTTCCATCTTCCTGGGGCATACTGCCTTTTGAATGCCTTTTCCACAGTACTGCTTAGTTGATCATCCCATGTGTGAGCATTGGCGTAGCACCTGGGGTTATTAAGCTGAGGGGGCGATTGTAGAATTGAGTCAATTACATGAGGGCTGAAAGATATCTGCACCTTCTGGCACTATCCAGAAGAAGCCCACTGCTGACTACGCAGAAATCCAACCCATTGCATTGACCATACGTTTAAAAATAATGCATGTTTGCAAATTACACAAATTAATCTTTGCAGATAATTAGTCAACAAATTAGAAAGGAATAATTTACTGGAAAGTGTCAGGTAGAAAGCAAACCTTTAAGGCAGTTTCTAATCAGTAATTCATTTTATGACTCTTCTCCTTGCTCTACTCTTTTGATTTGTAGTCCCTAGAATAAGATATTAAAAGGTATTATTTCAGTCACCATAATTTGATTCTTGTTCCTGACTCATCTGCACTATTCTCTCAGCATGGACGAGAGCTACACTCCACTGCAACCCCTTTTCTCACTGCCCACACTCACACTGAGAACCATCTCGTATCTTCTCTGTTTGACATCGAATACAGCCCAAGCGCTTGGATTTAATTATCATTCACAAAGGAACTTTTCTCTCTCTTCTTTTTAAATCTTTGAAATCTCTACTTTTGCATTTATTCAACCCTGCTTCCCGGACCAAACCCTGTGAAAAATCATACTTTGAGGCACCCATCCATTTGTTTTTCCACCCCAAGTCCTCTTTGAGCAGGTAAAGAATAAAGGGAATTTGAAAATGGAAGGGAAGTTTCCAGAAGGGCAGCATGCAGCCAAGAGAGACTGAAGAGCAGGTTCCGGATGCAGGCACTTGCCGGCCAGTCCATGGCACACCCACCGGGGCCCTGCAAGGCGCAGATAAAACACAGGGTGCAGGATCAGAAGACACGGCTTCCAGTCAGCCCTGCGCTTACTCCTGTGATTTTAGGAGTCCCTGGACTCGGTTTGGAGGTTGGTGGTGCCACTGTAGCTGGAGTGGCTGTACTCAGCATGCTGCCGGTCACATCATGGCAATCAACAACTGCCTTTCTTAAGAGGGGATGAATGGGTGATGTGAGTGTTTGTGAATATACGGCATCATGGCTGCCTGTTTTCGCTCCAGTGCAAGCCCAGGAAGCAACCTCCACTTTCTCTAGCCCTCTGACCTCCAGAAAGCACAGACAGAACCTGTGGATAATCACCACATTTTCTGTACCACAAATACAATCCCGGAGGATAATCCAGGACAATGTGAAAACTAAGAATGAGATCTGGGTACATTCAGATCTAGCTTAGATTCTGTCCTTGACCAGAAAAAGGTTTTGCTCCAGAAAAAGTGAAATGTGCATAAAGTAAAATGAAGATCCACAGAGCAGGACCAAGTTCTCAGACAAAGCCAGGGAAAGCAGGGGCATTCCTGGTCAGCAAGCCAGCACTGCAGAGCAGCAGCCCTCGCTCACAACCAGCCCAGCCTGTGCCTGTCCCATTCCGAGCCAGCAGCCCAGCACAAGCTGACAGTGAGCTTGGAGAGCATGGGGGACTCACGCAGACTGCTGTAGGCGTCCTGCAGGGAGGAGGGGAAATTAACCCAATATATCAACAATTTAGTAGTTTTAAAGAAATAACAAAGTACCATTTTTAAGATTCTTTTTCAAGAAATTTTTTCCATTGTGAAATTAGCTCGTTTTAATTCCCATCACCTGCTCTAAGCACATCTTTCTGCCATTCTTGAATAAGGTTTACTATGCACTGAATAGTATGAGCAAGATGCTGAAAGTGTTTAATCTTGATAAGAGAATAAATTCTTTGAAATGAATTTAGCAGACTTGCAGACACACCAATAATGAGCATGGTTGTCAAACCTCACACAACATGCTTCCTTCTGCTGCTGTCCTGTGGTGGAGGTTTCCAGACATTTTGTGCTCAATTCACACATATGACCTGGTATGGAATGTTCATACACCCAGATTCCAAAAAGTATGTGTCAGCGAGAACTGAAATGCATGAAGTCTATATTTGGTCTAAAATACAAAGCCATGGCTGGGTGTGGTGGCTCACGCCTGTAATCCTAGCACTCTGGGAGGCAGAGGTGGGAAGATTGTTTGAACTCAGTAGTTCAAGACCAGCCTGAGCAAAAGCGAGACCCCGTCTCTACTAAAAATAGAAAGAAATTAGCTGGACAACTAAAAATATATAGAAAAAAATGAGCTGAGCATGGTGGCACATGCCTGTAGTCCCAGCTACTCAGGAGACTGAGGCAGAAGGATCGCTTAAGCCCAGACGTTTAAGATTGCTGTGAGCTAGGCTACACCACGCACTCTAGCTTGGGCAACAGAGTGAGACTCTGTCTCAAAAAAATAAAATAAAATAATATAAAATAAAATAGAAACCCATAACACTTGTCATTGATGTTCAGGAAATATTGGGACAATCTTTTTTTCAAAGAGTTCTGCTTTTATACTAAGGCTCATTGATATGGGTCTTGGTTTATTAATTAATGTAAGCATTTTACATAGACAGGAGTACTTTCAGAATCCTCCACCCAAAGGTAAGCAATCCCCACCATTTTGAATAAACTCAAAACAAAATGCCTATTAACATAAGTACAGTCTATTTTCCTGCCCACAGTACATGCTGTTTGCTCTGCCTAGAATGTCCATCCCAATCCAACTCCAATTCAACTCCCACATTCCTTCCATCAGCCTTTCTGAGCTCTTGTCCCTCTTCCCACCAAACCACACTGTGTGTTCTCTGTGCACCATTAATACCATACACACTCTGATTAAGGCACTTATCATCTTTAAATATAACTGTACAAAAATTCACTTCTCCACTTGACTGTTTCTTTAAAAAAATATTTAAGTTTAAAAGACATAGAATCTTACTCTTCTTTTAGCACTGAACATATAACAGTGCATTGCTATACATTAAAGCAAGGCCAGAAGAATACCTGTCTGTTATGAATTTCTGTTACTAAGTATTCTTGAAAACTATACCCCTGAATAAATATCCCATACCTGAGATTTTTCATTAAGCCTGATTGCTACTTCCATTGGTACAAATGAGTGAGATTTCAAGATAGAACCTTTGGCTTGTCCTGTGCATACAGCATGTCCCTACACTTTAATAAGAGTGCTGGCTGGCTAATTAGGGACCACTGCGGCACCCGGGCAGGCGGTCAGGACGCAGGCTCCCGGGTCAGCTGACTTACACTGGAATTAACAGTTTGCTCTGGTTGCTCACAGCATGGAATTCAGCTCATCCTCAGCATGGACAAGTGTTGTTGTTTTTTTTTTTCTCTCCTTATTAACATAAACGCTCACAGCACACTCAGACTACACACAGAAACAGCTGCCTCCCCCTTCGCGTTTTGTCGGAGATGTTCTTAGCCAAGCCCGTTAATGACTCAGAAGGGGCATTCGGAAATTTAAAAGTTCTTAATGAACGTGCTTCCTGCTCCCCCTCCCATCCTCCCTCCAAGTCTCACAAGACATCGTTATTTTTAACTCCACATTGCTACAGCTGCACCTCAGAGAAAGCCATGCTGAGACAAAGGCGCAGCCCTGATCCCAGGATGGGAAGCATGGCCGGGAAAGAGGAAGGGTGGAAAAAAGAAGGGGAGACATCGGGAGTGGAGTTAGAAACACTTCTCAGAAAACACAACTGTAACAAAGGCCAAGCGGGACCAGAGGCAGGAACCCTTGGGAATGGGACGCCATGTGGTGAACCCATCTCCCAAACTTGGAGTGCAGGAGGGACACCACCAGCCCTGAGCAAAGAACTAGACCAGGATTTAGCACAGCAAGTCGGAGGAAAGTGGTAGATTTGCCAACTGATACTAGAAAACAATTTTACGTGTTCTGACCTAAACAAAACCTCCAAGGCAAAGCTAACTAGCCCTCCTTACTTTGATATACAACTCTTGGTCTGTATTATTTTGAAACTCGTACACTAAAGAAGCAAAAGCCAAAGCCAAAAGAAGCTGAGTTGTTTGGGGAATTCTTTTTCTCTTTGTGGCTCTTCTTAGTACCAGTTTTAACCTCATTTCACCTAAATGAAAGTACCTGATTTCATCTCATTCTCTTCCTACTAAGCAGAAATGGTTCTGGTTGTCAAACTTTCCCAAAGGTAGACTGAATTATCCTGTGAATGGCCCCCCTGAGGCTGTGCAGTAAGAAGATCTGCTTGAATAAAACTAAGAAAGCTCTCTAAGCATGTCCCTTCCTTGATTTGTCTTTTTAGTCATTTTCCAGTGAACACAGCTAACATGGATTCTATCCTTCCACCAGTCTTAAAAAATAATTATTTCACATAGCAGAATAAAAGTAAATTAAATTTGTATCGTTCATGTTTAATTTTTTTTATTTCTGAAATATCTTTGTATCACTCGGGTTCCCAACAGAAAACAGATGGCACACTCAAATTAGGCAGTTCAAACGGGTTTATTTGCAAAGGTGTAGAAGAATTATACGGGACTCTGTGGTAACCAAGAGTGAGTAGCAACAGAGAGGAGGGAGTGGTTGCCAGAACTGGGGTGGAGAAAGCCCAGCAGAGAAGGCTGCCAGGAGTCCACCGCCAAGGACTAACAAGCTCTGGTCAAGAGACAGTCAGCCTCAGGTGATCATCTGCAAGGGAAGCATCAGAAACATAAATACTCCAACCTCATTTTCCTCCTCTCCACCCACTCCCCCAACCCCTGCCTGCTGGGACTTCCCATTGGCCAAACCAAATGAGAAGGGCTCTCACTGATGTAGGCCACACAGGTCTGCCTGCTGCATGGGCGGGGGTAGGGTGGAGAAGCACAGAGAGTGCATCTGGACAAACAAACTGGCGCAAAATATAAAGTCTTATTAGAAAAACTTAACACTTTATTCACCTAAAACAGCTGCAAATTCATTTTGAATTCCTCAAACTCCAGGGCCTTCCAGGAACAGGCAACATCAGGTCCTGCAAATTCTCTGATATGTTCCTTATAAAAAATCAATGAGAAATATAAATTTCTGGTTTTCTTCTTGTGTAAGTCCTTTGTTTTTACTGACATATTTTTCCATACTTTGGCCAAGAAATAAAATACAAAAGGATTGGAATCTGAAAATATCAGACCAAAGCTTTTCTACTGACATAGCCCAGCATAAGATACTTAGGGAAAACTGCAATTCTCCTCCCTTCTCATCTTTTCACAAACATTTATTGAACAACTACCATGTCCCTAGTAGCCTATAATATACTGAGATGCAAAGATAAATGTAAATAACTTTACTTCTGTTGGTTTATAAAAAAATGGACAATTATTAGTTTTAGTTAGTTTTTGTCTGTTTTTGGCTCACAAAAAACAGTTCAGAAGGTAGAACTAGTTTCAGTCTTGGACTGATTTGGGAGCTCACCAATGTTTCTAGACTCTTGCTCTCAGCTCTTCCTCCTCATAGTGCTTGTTTTTATCCTCGGGAAGGTTCTCTTTATGGTAGAAGGATAGTTATAGAAATCTAAGTTTCACACCATCACACCACCAAACCCAGAAGACTAACGATGTCTTTGTGTCACAATCACAGTAAAGTTGTGGATTCACTCTGATGGGACAGGCTTAACTCACCCTTGAGTCAATCACTGTAGCCAGGAAAATGGGATACTCTGTTCAGTGTAAGTCAATTAGAGTCATCATTTCGGTTGAGTGTGGGGCCAGTCTAGTCCCAACAGCCTGACAATGGAGGAGGGACAGATCCACAAGAGACAGATCCACTAACATCTGAAAGCTGTTAGTCAAAGAAAGGAGGAAATGAATGCCAGGCAAGCAACCATCCCAAAATAAAGATACATGCGAATGCTCCAGAAGCCAAAAAGATTAGAGCAAGGAACTCCCCAAACAGGCTGGGTGACATTTTAGCTGATTCTTAAAGGAGGATTAGGATAAGATGGAGTGAGGCAAGGTAGAAAAGGGGGAAAGGCGATCCTGGCAAATAAAACAGCACGCACAAGCAGAGAGAGACATGAAAGAGCATGGGGTGTACTAGAACAATGGGACATTCAGTGTGGCTGGATCACAGGGCCTGGGTAAGTTCCATATGGCAAAGACGACTGGGACCACTTTCTGCAATGGTAAAGATTTCATGTCTCATGCTTGAAAGCATTAAAGCATTTAGCCAGGGGAGTGACAAGATCAGATCCATATTTCAGAAAGACAGTGTAGAATAGATAATGTAGGGGATGGGGCTTAGAAGAAGGCTGAGTCTAAAAGTTACTGGACTTCTTCAGAGGCCACTGAATTAGAGGTGAGAGATGGTGTCTAAGTGCAGAGGAAGGAGCAGGAAGTTTGGGGAGAAAGGTGTTAGAATCAATTGGACTTGATGATGAATAGGACTAGACAACCAATGTGTAAGGGGGGGAGAAGAGATAATGATGACTCTGAGTTTACGTCAGTACTAGCAAGGATGCTCTATCCCATGCCAGGTGTTCCTATTATTCACTCTCACAATTTTCATGCAAATTCATTTTTATATTTATTAACATCATCAAATTCTATTACATTTGAAGCTTCCACTGGCTTACTTTATACATGCAAAGCAAAGTGCAATAGTGGGATAATTGCAGGTGAAATTGAACCTACAAAATATTTTGACTTAAATTAAAATACAGTAACAAAAATTCATACCAAAATGGATTTTTTAATGAATTTGTATTATCTGAGTAACTGAATGATGGACACAGATATAAAATTAGTACAGCTCAATCTACAAAAAATAAGCTCAAGAAATGAGCCTTGGAATTTTGCCTTCTTCTTGAAAATGTTATTTCTAAGAATCCCTTGTCTTCCCCAGAGTTGGCAAAGTGAAGAGTAAGAAGTCTTTTTTAAATTATCTTTTCAAGCAATTTACAAAACTCACTTAAATATATAATTACCAATTTTGTAGGCATTTAAGAGATGTATAATTTTGGTGTTGTACATATTGGCTATTTCACTGAAATGTGTTCTCTTTTATCTGAATACCACAATTTAAAAACCTAAGAAAATCAATTGTTTCAAGGCAATCAACCTAGCTGCCTAACTTAGTTTGCCTCTTATTTCTACTCAAATGAACAGAGGTGGAGAATTTATGTCAGTTCTATACAGAGGGAAGTGTGTCTTCTATATGGTGGTAACTTTCAGAACGCTTGTAAGGTACAATAAAAACAGAAAAGGCCAGATTTCAAAAGGAGCCTACCAAACCCTGAGTCATGGCCTTAAAAGGAATTTCCCACCTGGGAAGTAAGTGGATGGGACCCTGAGTCAAACCTCTGCAAGTGGCAGGAGCTATAGACGAGGGAAGACAAGTGCCACTCAGTAGAAGAGCAAATCTCAGTCCTACACTACCTGTGAGGGGGTGACTCCTAATATTACAGCAAAGGGGATAATTGGAAAGAGGATAGTGCTCAGCTAACTTATGAACACATTAGTCATAGAAAAATAAATGAAAGTGAACAAATGAAAGAGAATCATTCAGTCTTATCGCTTAAATAAGCAATGGCTTTCTTCCTACTCCCACTGACCTCTTGGTTTCTATGTTGAACTCTTCCTTTCACCCTTGCCCAGACCTACAATATTGGAGAAAGAACCAAATAAGCACAGTATGGAGCTATTTGCAATCCCAGCAATGATCAAAAAGAGGTCTCCCTGAAAACATGAATGGAAAACGATCATTGAATATGTGAGGAATCACAGAAGTTGAGAAGAAAGAATCTGAAGAATCAAAGCAAGTCTTCCTATGAAAGAGACTTGCTGAAAAGATAGACAGCAAACTTTAGAAAATATTTATTATTTCAGTAAGATTTGAAAGGCATTGTATCTAATAAAAAGAAAGAATCTGGTTTGGAAAAAATACTTTCAGATGAAAAATTACTGAATTTAAGACTACATTATTGGCAGCAAATGACTTTCAGGTATTGCAGAAAACAAACTATCATTTGAAGGCAATATCAAAAGACTCCTACAAGAATAAAATAATAATAACTGTACTTGTTAAGAATTTATGAGTTGCTAGTGTTTTGCCACCTTAAATATGCATTAACATATTTCATCCTTATATTATTATTCTAAGCAAGTATTATTATTAATATTACAATTCACATTTGGTAGTTGAGCAAGGTTATGTAAGTTGCTTAAGAGCACACCATTAATAATGTAGGCTGGAGCTGAGTTTTAAACCCAATGCTATCTTACTCTAATTCTTGTTTTAGCAGTGAGCTCTTCTAGATCGTCAAGAGATGAATAACATTTCTACGCAATCTAAATTCTTCTGGAGCAGGGTTTAGCAAATTCTTTCTAAAAAGGGCCAGAGAGCAAACATTTTCAGACTTGTACCCTGTACAGTCTCTGTCACAACTACTCAACTTTGCCATGGTAGTGGGAAAGCAGCTGCAGACAATACATTAATGAATAGCCATGATTATCTTCCAATAAAATATTATTTGCAAAAGCAAATGAAGGGCCAGATTTGGCCTATGGGCCATAGCTTGTCAAACTCTATTCTAGGACATATAAAAGATGAAAAAATGATATTTTTTGTTAAGCTATCACAGTGCAAATAACAAAACTTGTCAAAGATAATCCAAATTTTTAAAAAATTATCTCACGTATGAATATAGAGATAAAATCTACAAATAAAAGTTTTTGCAAATTAAAACTTGTAAAAAAATTAAAATTTGTAGCAAGTAAAAGACCATTACACATTACCAAGTAGATTTTATTCCAGCGATATATGGAGGTCCAACTTTTAAAAATCTATTATTATAATTAATAATATAAATAGATCAAATAAATGACATTATTAGTTATTCAGAAGTTTTTTTTAAGAATTCAACATCCATTTTTAATTTAAAAAGCACACTTGGTACAGTACCTTAATATGATAAACAATATCTAGCCAAAAAAGAAAAACTATCAACATTGTAAATAAGACGTAATACTAAAGACATCTCCATTAAAATAAAAAATAAGATAAAGATAACCTTTACAAACACTGCTATTTTATGTTATTCTGAGAGTTCTAGTCAAGATAATATGTTAAGGAAAAAAATTTTAAGTAAGACCCAAAATTATAATAATTTGTAGGTGATATAATTGCTACAAGAACTAATAAGAATGAATTGAAAAGAAAAAAGTTAGGACTTCCGGTTTCTGGTTCAAGATGCAAGGAACTTGTCCTAACAAAAAGAAAAGTGCTAATAAAACTGAAAGTCAACAACTCTTATTAAATTTATTGGACAATTGAGGTCACAGGGTAATTGCTGCCCCCAAATTTAAGCAGATACAGAAAATCATAACTTACTAGAGCAGAAACTCAGAAGCAGAAACTTCTGGGGACCAGTCCTGGGGCAGGAAAACTTAAACTGTAATTGTCAAAATACTGGAGGCTCAATATGGAGAAATCTGAGAGTTAAAAACTCCAGGTTGGCCTAGTCTTAAATGGGTGCCCACAGCTTTGTTAGTTTTACCTCCAGGGGCACTATCAGATTATCACAGTGAAAGTCAAAGAAAAAGGAAAAAAAAAAACCCTTATGCTTTCAGCAAGAAGAGGAAAATTAACCATTTTGAAATATACCAGAGCACTCTGTTCAACAAAGTTGTCCTTAAAAAAACAAAACAATTTTATCAGAGCCTAACCAATTGGAGTTTTATCAGAGCCTAACTGACCTGGCGGAAGGAAAACCTAAATCAGACTCCCTCTAGCCACTGCTGTCCCACTTGAGAGGGGCAGAACTGAGAAGCACCTGTGAATTTCACCACTTATGGGCTAAAAGACTAAGACCTAATCATAGCACTATAGAACACGTCCCCTCACCTCACATCATAAAGGCCTATTTACAGCAGTACCTTTCACCCAGTAGTACATCGTGTCTGCCTTTTAACAAAAACTTACAAGACACACTAAAAGGGCAAAAATATAACCAAAGAGACATAGCAAGCACCACAACCAGAGTCCAATATTGCAGGAATGTTAAAATGATCAGACTGGGAATTTAAAATAACTATGATTAAGAGTCTAAGGGCACTAATAGACAAAGTAGACAACATGCAAGAATAGATGGGTAGGGCAGGCAGAGAGATGGAAATCACACGCAAGAACTAAAAGGAAATGCCAGAGATCAAAAACACTGCAACAGAAATGAAAGACTCCTTTGATGGCCCCTTAGTAGGCTGGACATGGCTGAGGAAAGAATCTCTGAGCTTTAGGACACATCAATAAAAATTTCCAAAGCTGAAAAACAAAGAGGCAAATTACAATCATGCACATTCTTGACCATAAAGCACACCTTAACAAATTTAACATACTATAAATCATACAATGTCTGCTTTTAGACCACAGTGGAATTTAATTAGAAATTAACAACAGAAAAATAGCTAGACAATTGTAAAATACTTGACTATTAAACAACACACTCCAAATAACATATGGGTCAAAGATCAAAACTCAAGAGAAATTTTTAAATATTTTGAACTATATTAAAATGAAAATATAATTTGTCAAAAATAGTGGGATGCAATGAAAACAGTGATGACAAGAAAATTTATAAAATTGAATATGTATAATAAGAAAAGAAAAAAGAGCTAACAATCAATAATCTAAGCTTCCACATTAGGAAACTGAAAAGGAAAAGCAAATTAAATCCAAAGTAAGCAGAAGGGAAATCATAACTAAAAATGAGATCAGAAATCAATGAAATTAAAAAATGAAATCAATAGACAAAAATCAATGAAACCAAAAGCCAATTCTTTGAAAGATCAATTAAATCAATAAACCTCTAGCCAGACTAAGAAAAAAAGAGAGAGGATACAATTAGTAATATTAGAAATGAAAGCGAGGCCGTCACTATAGATCCTATAGACATTAAATGGATAATAGAGGAACATAGTAGCAGCCCCCTTATCCACACGGTTTTGCTTTCTGTGGTTTTAGTTACCTGTAATCAACCACTGTCTGAAAATATTAAATGGAAAATTCCAGAAATAAAGAATTTATAAGTTTTAGGTCTCTCTCTCTTTCTCTCTCTGCCATGTGAGGACACAGCAAAAAGATGGCTGTCTACAAGCCAGGAATAGAGCCCTCACCAAGAACCAAATCTGTCAGCACCTTCACCTTGAACTTCCCAGCCTGCAGAACTGTGATAAATAAATTTCTGTTGTTTAAGCCAAAAAAAAAAGTTTTAAATTGTGTGCCACTCTGAGGAGCATGATGAAACCTCAGACCACCCTGTCCCATCCAGGACATGAATCATTCCTATTGCCAGTATACCAACATCGTACATACGATCCACCCATTAGTCACTTAGTAGCTGTCTTGGTTACCAGATTGATTATTATGACATCATGGTGCTTGTGCTCCAGTAAGCCCGATTTTACTTCATAAACGGCTCCAAAGCATAAAAGTAGTGATGCTGGCAATTCAGATATGTCAAAGAGAATCCATAAAGTGCTTCCTTTAAGTGAAAAGGTGAAAGGAAACAAATAAGGAAACAAAAAAATATATATGGTGAGTTTGCAAATATTTATAGTAAAATCTTACTATAAAACAAATCTATCCATGAAATTATGAAGAAGGAAAAAGAAATTCAACCTAATTTTACTTTTGCACTTCAAACTGCAACAGTTACAGCCATGGTGTATGATAAGCACTTAATTAAGATGAAAAAGGCATTAAATATATGAGTGAAGTCATGAACAGAAATGTGTCCAATTGATGGCAATTGGGTTCAGTATTATCTGTAGTTTCAGATATCCACTGGGGATCTTGGAACACGTCCCCTAAGGATAAGGGGGGCTTCTGTTCTGTACTACAAAAATTTGATAACCTAGATGAAATGGACACATTTCTTGAAAGACATAATCTACCAAAACTCACACAAGATATATATAATTTGAGTAGGCACATATCTTTTAAACAAATTGAATCAATTATTAATAACCTTCCAAGACAAGAAGTATCAGGTCCAGATAAGTTCACTGGTGAGTTCTATCAAACATTTAAATAGAAATTATGCCAATTTTCTACAATCTCTTCCAGATAATAGCAGCAGAATTACCATTTCCTAACTCATGCTATGATGTCATCATTACCCTAATACCAAAATCAAAGACATTAAAAGAAAAGAAAGTTATAGACCAATACTTCTCATGAACATAGATATAAAAATCCTTCACAAAATATTAGCAAATCTAATCCAACAATATCTAAATAGCACTATAGCCTATGACCAAGTGAGATTTATTCCAGTTGTGCAAGGAAGGTTTAGCATTCCAAAATTAATTAATTAATATAATCCATCACATCAACCAAATAAAGAAGAAAAATGACATGATCATATCAATAAATGCAGAAAAAACATTGGCAAAATCCAACATCCATACATAATTAGCATTACATGAGGCAGGGTTAGCAAGTGTAAATTCAGAGGGAAAAATGCATCAAAAGCACATGTTAACAGCCGGCAGCTCTTCATTTAGGTTTATGTTTGAGAAACTACAGACATTTTTAAAAGTATT